CACAGTTCCGGCTGTAATCGTGTCTAATGTGGACGCTGGGGAGTAATGATAGTTTATGTCTTGTTTGGTTTTGTTTTATTTGAGACAGGGTTTCTGTGTACCTGTCTGGCCTTGAACTCATAGCAATCCTGCCTCAGCCTCCCAAGGGCTGGGATCACAGACATTATGTTGTTTCTGTCTTCATTACTGGCTCCCACATGGGGCACTAGCCATGCTGCCCCCTGCTGGCTTCAGGAAGCACCCAGGCCATTCATCTCATGGGTGGGAGCCCACATTATGGTGTTTCGCTGTGGGGCAAGTGGGCATTGGACGTTTTATGATTTAAACTTTGCCACTTGTGACAGAGGCCCAGAAGCTGAGGTCCACAGGTGCTTGATGGATGTCTGGGAGCAGGACTGTGGGTTCCAGAGATGGGCCACGCTACCCAGGGGACACTGGCTGGGCGTTGCGGAGGGGCAGCACGTAGTCACAGCATGAGATTTCACCCGAGCTGCAAATGAGATACCCAGACCATCCCTGAAATTCCTACCAGCCGGTGGTAGTAAGGCTGAAGCCTGCCTATCTGTCCTGGCAGAAAAGAGTGGCGCCCTTTCAGCTCTTTGAAGCTCATTCTTGCAGAGTTGTTCTTAGTATCCTAAGGACAAGAGGTAGAGAAAAACATGTCTACCAGATGTGCCAGGAGCAGTGTCACCTGCCACGCACAGGGTGGGTGGTGTGTGAAGAGCTGTGGCGTACCACAAGTTGCTCCAGGCTCCCTCTGCTTAGGTGGCCTTCAGGGCCCCTTGCTCTGTCAGCCTTACTGGAGGTGAGAACCAGGGTGGACCTCTTCCTCACTGCTAGTCTAGGGTTGGGTGTGGGGTGACCATGTGGTGCTCAGCTGCTGATAGTTGGAGCCCCACCCCAGCCAGCACTGCCCTCCCATCCTGCTCTTATGATAAGGGACAGTGTCTTGTTCTATCTCTTGGCTCTGGCCAGGCCAGAGGTGGGTGGTAGGGAACAGTAGCCAAGAATCCATCATCAGCACCCAAGACAACCTTGGCCTTTGGGGGCTCAGTGTACTAGACGTAGGTAGAGCTGAGGAGAGCTGGCAGCAGCATGGAACTGCCCCCAAGGTTTAGTGAGTCAGCATGCCAAGCTCATCTGCCAGCGAAGAGGGCCATCTTGGAGGACCAGGTCCAGGCTTGGGGAGAGGGGGCAAGGTAGGCACGCCCCATACCCCAGTCTGTCTGCAGCAGCTCCTGGACATTGGATGCCAGCACTGCCCTCTGTTAAAAAAAGGTGGGCCTGGTGCTGGTGAGGCGTGGGCGATGCTGGCCCAAACAAGGCTAGGATGGAAGTGGATAGATGCTGTGAGTCCCTGTGCTGCAGCCCCTGCAAACAGAAGCAGCTAGATAGTCTGGGTTTTCCATGTGAATTCTCCCACTGCAGAGACAGCAAGTGACATTTTTCTGATACTGAGCAATTTCCATTCCAAGGCTCTGGGACTGCTCTTGGGTCAAGAAAAGATGTTGACCAGGGCTAGGCAGAACCTTGCAGTCTTGTCAGGATCAGGGCCCGCTGTGGATCCAGTCAGGCTCTGAGGGCTCTCTTGAGACGGAACCTGGTGCCGTCTGCTGAGAGGGAGGAGCTACAGCCAGCACTCAGCCTTGTCCTAAGCCGAGCACACGTGTCTGTGGACCTGTCAGGCAATCCTGGTCTAGGAAGGCAGCTGCAAGGATGGGCTTGAGCTGATCTGCTAGCAGCACAGGTCAGGTGGCTGTGGCCCTTGCTGCTACTGGTTAAGCACTGCTGAGGGCCACCAGGTCTGAGACAAGGCTTTTCCCCTGGGTGGTGGAGACTGCCCTCACCCCATTTCGATCCCACAGCCTCACGCAGCCCCGTGACTGTCTGACTTGTCGCAGGGCCTTTCTGTCTTCCTGTGGCTTCCTGCATCCCGACTGATCACAAAGCTTCAGGTTCTTAGCAGGGCTGTGGGGGGCTCATTTGCCCAGAGCTTTGCCTTCTAAGCCTTAGTGGTTCTGCTAAGGCAGCCTCCGCCTGGGAGTGGCAGCGGAGGTGCTGGTCCTGCCCACCCTGCAGTGAGTGCTCCCAGTTCAGGGCCATTGTGGGGACAGTAGAGGTGCAACCATGGGGGGCTTCAGACCTGTCCAGAGCTTGTCCTGCCCCTGGCTGTTGTGACACCAGGACCCGCCTGGCCCTGGCCCACCTTAGTGCTTGTGCAGTCTCCGCTGGTGTGGCTCCCGACCTCCAGCAGTGTGTAGTCTGAGAAAAGTCAGGTCTTGAAATTTTAAAAAATGTATTATAGAAAAAGGTGTAGCATCATCAGCCCCCTCAGGATACTCACCCCTCTCCCTCCATTCCCCTCCCCCCTTCCAACACTTATCCCATCATTCTTGCCGCTTTCTGAAGCAGCTCTGGAAGTCCTCTTTTGTGAGGCCATTGTGGCCGCCTCAGTGTCGTTGACGATGTTTCCTTCCTGTGGCCCTTTGACTTCAGGGAAGAGCCAGAAGTCTTTCACTGTCAGACCTGTGAATAAGGTAGATGAGGACACGACAGAAGGTCTTTAGGAGCCTGCCGTTCTGATGGATGGCACTCAGCAGCGGCACTCACCTTGCGGGGAATATTTTGAGAGGAATTCATGGCAATGGGTGTTTTTCTGTAGTAAGTTAACAAAAATGTAAACATGTACTGTATATTTTGACCATAGTTTATGTGTGCTCACCATCCACAGCTTTTTTTTTTTTGAGACAGGGTCTCACTATGCAGTTCAGGCTGGCCTTGAGCTCACTTTGTGGCCCTTGCTGCTCCCAAACTCACGGTGACCCTCCTGCCTCAGCTCCCAAGTGCTGGGATTACAGGCGTGCACCACCACACTCTGGTTTCAACCACACCTTTGTTGCAGACAGGAGTACAGGATAGATCCAACCAAGGCGCTGGCTGATGGGCTACTTAATGGATTTTCACAAATCTGTCAGGCCTGGGCTGGGCTGTGAGCATTGCGGTGAAGCCCAGCCTGGTGCAGGTGATGACAGTTTCCCAAGCCTGCATCTGCCTATTTCACTTTCTCCTACTCGTCCTCTCACTTCTATGTTTCAATGAAATTCAACTTAATTAAGGATGGAAAGAGCACTTTCTTTCTTTGGTGGTGCTGGGGACTGAAGCCAGGCCTTGTGCGTGCAAGGCAAGAACTCTACCACTAAGCCACATCCCCAGCCCCTGAGCCACATGAACAATATTTCATGCACCAGTATTCCCCACTCCAAGAACAGTGGTTTTGGTTTTTTATGTTACAAAATTTAAAATCTATTCCAGCCAGGTCTGGTGGTGGCACACACCCAGTAGAATCCCAGCTACTTGGGAAGCTGAGGCAACATAATTACAGGTTCAAGCCCAGCCTGGAAAATTTATTTATTTTTATTTTATTTTTGTATTTAGTGTAGAGTCTACAGGGTCTCACTACACAGATCGGACTCGTAGTGATCCGCCTGTTTTCAGCCTCCCAAGTGCTGGGATCAGCCTGAGAAATTTAAACTTAGTGAGACCCTGTCTCAAAGTTGTAAAAATGGCCTGGGGATGTAGCTGAGTGTGAAGGCTCTGGATACGGGACCGTACTGCAGAAAAGGGGTGGGGTGCTGAGGATACAGCTTGGCGGGAGAACACCTGCCTGGTGGGAAGCCCTGCTTTCTTTTTATTAGAACTGGCTGTATTCATTGTAGGGCGCTGGTCCACACACATAATTCATCTTCATTCTTATGGCTCTCTTCCCTGCAAGGCCCTGGTTTCTAGCCCTAGTGTGGGAGTGCTATCCACTGCATTTCCACACCCTGTGCCCCTTGCTGTCCTGGCCCCAGACGGACCCTCCTTTTACCCATTCAGAAGCCAGCGTGAGGCCGTCCACCTTCTCTGCAGCAGCCTCTGGGGCATGGCAAGGCTGCAGAAGCGAAGGGTCAAAGGACTAGGCCTGGGCCAGCAGGGAGGCCTGCAGGACCCTGGGAAGACTTGTGCATCTGTTTCCATATATCGCTGTCCCTGCCAGGCCTGGGGTTGCCAGGAGCTCATGAAGTGCCTGGGAAAGTGACAGCAGAGAGCAAGGGACAGGTGGTCAGGGTGGGGATGATGGAGAGGACGCGATGGCCCGGGCTGGGTATGGGCATATGGTGAATACACAGCACTTGACAGGCTGGCTGGAATGGGGGTGGGAGCAGGAGCTGCCTCACAGGTGGCCGCAGGTGACCCCTTGTTCAGTGTAACCTGAGGGTGATGTGTTCTAGGCAAATGTCTGGTGCAATCCAAGTGGAAGGGACTGATTGCTGCCCCTGTGCATCGCCATCGCCCTCGCCCTCACCCTGAGCTGGCCACTGGCTGCTGGTGGGGACAGAGAAGTAGGCCAGGTCAAGGTAGGGAGCTCTCTGGAACAGTTCCTTCTTGAAGGAGAAAAGGCAGAACAAGTGGCAGGGTAGAAATCGCTGTGCAGAAAGGACAGGACCAAAAGGTTGCTTTGGTGGGCTAGGAGACAACTCAGAGGCAGAAGTGCCTGTTTGGCATACACAAGGTCCCAAGTTTGATCTCTGGTACTGAAAAAAAGGCTGCCTTGGGTATCTGGGAAAAGACGGCAGAAGAAGTGAGTGGAGATGTGTAGGCAGGGGACAAAGAAGGTGAACGCTCTCCAAGGGCATAGCAGGAGCCACTGCACACTGGATAGAGACTGGATGGGAACCGGTGTGGGCCTGATGTGGGCCTGGGGTGACTGTGGGGGGTGGGGTGATAGTAGGAACAGGAAGGCAGAAGATGGCCCCCAGCTTCAGCTTTGGAGAGGGAGATGGAGCTCAAGGAAGCCAGGCTGCCTGGGCAGTGCCACCTGAGCAGCTGCAGTGTTCTGGGCCCTGTGGGCAGCAGCCCCACTATCATAGCAATAGGAGACCAGAAGGCACCCACACACCCGGCTGGCGGGGACCCGAAGAACACACTGAAGCAGCTGTGGGAACATTTATTCCTTGGGGTCACAGGCGGCGGTGGTAGAAGAGCTCGTGGCCACACACCGGGCAGGAGTGCTTGATGTCCAACAGGGTGTTCAGGCAGAAGGGCAGGAGGCAGCAGCCCACGAAGCACCTGCAACCTCGAAAGTCGGGTGGTGAGCAGCACCCTCCACACTGCACCCCACGGACCTCCAGGTGGCCCAGGCCTCAGGGCATGTCTGGGGCCCGGTTGAGAGCCATGCTGACCCTCTCTGTCTTTCGTGTGGTAACACAGCCACCAGTGCCTGCCTGCAGTCCCCTACTTGGCGGGCACTGTGCCTGCACCCAACTGCCAGTGCCAAGTGGTTAGATAAACACCGAGGTCTCCCGCCCTCCATCCCATCTGTCTTGTGCACAGGTTCCCTCTCCCCACCTCACCCCCAGCCTGACACCCAGGGCCTGGCCACTCACCCACATATGAAGAGACTGGAGCACAGCAGGAAGGTGAGCAGTCCTGGAACCGGGGCGGTCACCGTGACAATATAGTTTCCGCAGTAGGGGCACATGGCCTGGATGGGCATGGAGGTCGATGCCCGCAGCATGGTGTTGTATGTGGCTGGGGGGAGGCAGTCAGATCTCACTCCATGCCACCCGCCCTCACTGGCCTCTCATCTTCTGCAGGGTCTCAGTGGCCAGCTGGTCGGCCCCCACCCCTCATCGCCCCATCATCAGCCATAGGCCTCCTGGGGTCAGGACCTTCAGCCACAGCAAGGACATGGAGCCAGGAACTGCATCCCCCTAGGTCTAAGCGTGATCCCTTCCATTTGGTGAGGCCTCGCCCCGTCCTGCCTGTGTGGTCAGCCCCGTTCTCTTGGGCTCCTTGAATTATCAGCAGTGGTTTCCACTCCTCGTAATGAAATCCCTGCCGGGCACCCCAGCCACATTAGTACATGGGAGGCAAAAGCACAAACCTTCCTATCGGCCTCCTGCCACCCTCGGGCACACGTGTAGTAGGGCCACTAAGGTGTGCTCCATGACTAACTGGAGACCACCACTGTGTACTCAATGGTGCTGAATTCATCATGATATGGGGCGGGGCATTTGGCACATATGTGCCTGGGGCCCTGAATTCCTCCCCCAGCACTGCCAACACCAAGACAAAACACCCATAGAAACAATTCCTAGTGTGTGTCAGTATTGTGGGCAGGAGCCCCACGGCTGCGCCTGTGTAGGGTGGGGAGCTCAGGCTGCCTGAGGACTTCAGCTTTCTCTGGGGATCAAACAAGGGGTGCTAGGCTTTGAAGAGGGGTCCTGAGGCGCAAAGGTGTCATGTGGGATGTCACCCTGTGGGTTATAAAACTAAGGAAGAAGTGTGCATGGCTGGGAGGGGCATCCTGTGGGCCTGGGGCAATTTCCTACAGTGAGGTGTCTTCACTATGCCAATCTGAGGCTGGCAAGGGGAACTCTTGGGCAGCGCAGTGTGGCCGAGAGCCCCAACCCATGTGGTAAGGGCTTGTCCCTTTGTGGCACTGCTGGGAGGTGGGCGGACCTTGGGACTGGGGCTTTGTGAGAAGCTCCTAGGCCATCGAGTCATGTCTGTATCCTTGGGGGGGACCGTGCAAGGGCCATCTCTGTTCCCTGGCTCATGGTGAAGGAGGCTCACTGTGACACAGGGTCCCAACATAGCCACTTTCACTGGAGGCCTAAAGCCATGGGGCCACCTGATCTGTCCCTGGAACCTCCAGGACAGTGCACTACTGTCTCAGTTAACTTTTCTCTCGTTGCTGGGACAAAATACCCTACAGCCAGAATTAAGGACAGAAAGGTTTATTTAGCTCACAGTGTGTGGAAGTTTCAGTCCATCATCAGCTGGCTTCAAAGCTGGGTGGCACATGGCAGGGGGTAGGGGCAGAGGGCAGAGGGCAGTAGTAAAACAGCAAGAACAAAAGGGAGGAGCTTCAGCTGCAGCCAAGGCAGAGGCAAACTTCTCTCCCTTCCTTATATTGCATTCAGGCCATCCGGCCCCAGGCGGGTGTGGCACTCACACGCATAATCCCAGCATTGGATCATGAATTAAGTCACAAACTCTAGAAGCCTGCCCCACAGACTGCATGAGGTTTTGGGGGGACATCAAGACTCAGACCATAACAGCTACACAAACCTTTCCTTTTCTAAATTTACTGCCTCAGATATAGCACCTCGCAGCAGCAATACAAAGCTGACTAACACTTACCCTGGCCAACAATTCTTCAGGTAAAGTGCTGAGAACTCCTTGGGAGGTTTTGGAATCCTTTGCGCTCCTCTGTGGTGGTGTGGTGTGGTGTGCATAGAGGAATTATAATGTTCAGTAACACCTCTTGAGCACCTGCTCTGTACCGACCCCCGCCACGCATTAGAGCACGATGCTAGAGCACGATGCTTCAGCGGCCCTTGGTAACAGGGCAGCAGGTGTGTGCCTGGCAAGGCCTTGAGCTGCCAGGAGCACAGGGTGGTGGGGTCAAGCAGGAGGGCTTCCTGCACAGGTGCCGTCTGCATAGTCCAGGCCATGGCTGGGAGGGTGCTGCCAGCAGCTTGCGCCCCAGCCAGGAGTAGAGGTGGCTGAGCTCGCACTCACCTGAGTGGATGGCTTGTGGGGCATCAGGGTGTGCTCTGGGAAAGAACGGATCTCCTGCAGGAGGGTAGTAAGGCGGTGGCTGCGCTGGAGGAAGATTTGGTCCTGGACGAGAGGGGCATGAGGGATCCTCAGTCTGGGGCCTCAGGGGTGCCACAACTGTTTATTTTGCAATACTGCGGGTTGGACCCAAGGCCTTTGTGCTGAGCTACACTCCAGTCCTTTTCTGAGATTTCAGTTTGTGAGAGGGTCTTGACAAGTCACTAAACTGCCCAAACTTGGTTTCCACTCATGAGCCTCCTGCTTCAGTCTCCCAGAGTGCCAGGATTACAGGCATGTGTGCCACTGCACCCAGCTCTAGAACCGTTTTACAGAGCAGAAAGCCAGGCCTCTAGGCCTCCAGGGTGACCATGGCTGTTCAGCTAGTAGTGGAGGAGCCGGGATTTGAGCTGAGCGCTTCTGACTCCCGTGTGCCCGTTTCCTACGACGAGAGCTCTTCCTACAGGAAGTGAAGGAAACAGGAGCATGGGGCCACACTCTGCACTAACTGCCAAACAGACCTCACTACAGTTACTCTCACAAAGCGGAGGTGAAGTGGGTGGGTGCTGCTTTTTCAGTTTTGCATGTGTGGAGACCAAGGTCAGAGGTTAAGTAACAGGGCTGAGGTCACCCAGTAAATACGTACCTGCCAGGCGTGGAATAGGAATGCCTGACTCCAGAGTCCGTGTTGCTAACACGCCCTTGATGTGGAGACGGACAGAGCTCACGGGGCTGATCCCATCTGCTCTTGGAGGAGGGTTTGGGGTCCCAGCCCACCCCTCTATCCCTCCACCCTTGGCTCCATCTCACATTCCAGGACCGTGAACAGTGCGCACCCCGTGTGCCCCTCTGGCCCTGTGCCTCACTGCTCTGTCACCCACCCTGGGCAGAGAAGAGTCCCCAGACGCAGCTTAGGGCTGTTTGGAAGAGGAAGCCTAGGGCCCTGGATGCCCAGTGTGTGTCCAAGCCAGGGAGGACGGGAGCCTGTGGTCTTCATCACCGTTGGGCAATGGGGATGCCCTTATTTCCAAGGAGACCTGTGTAGGTCTTGTCTCCAAGTCAGCTTCTCTCAGAAAGAGGGCTGCTGGTATCTTTCCACCCAGGGTCTCCTCCAAGAATGCGCCCCAGAGAGCAGGATGCCATCTGCACTTGGGCACAATCTGGACTTCATGGGATGGGCAGAAGCCACCTGCTCAGGGTCCAGCTTCCTGCCTGCCTTGCACACGGGAAACGGCGTTGGAGCAGGGCACCAGCAGTGCATGGCCCTTGCGGGCTCCTGTGGGTCCCTCACCCCGCCCACCCCCTCAGCCTGCCTTCAGCAAGACTCAGGGACTCTGTCTAGGCCACGTCAGCGCAGCTGGCAGCGCCACACCGGTGAGCCACGGGGGCAGGCGGAGGGCGTACCTGGTGAGGGGGAGCCATCCGTCTTGCTTGGCAGATCCTTGCTGCTACAACAGGAGAGAAGAGGTGATGTGGGTGGCCCCACCTGTCCTCTGTCCCTGCTGGGGCCCTGGGAAGGTGGGGAGCACCCAAATCAGCACCTGCCCTGGCTGGGCATCACCCTGGAAATGCCCCTTGCATTGGCTTCTGCCTGGTACCACCCAGCCCCACTCCTGAGTGGAGGACCCTTACCCTCGGGATGATTCCATTTTGGCACCACGGAAGTCCTTTGTCTCAGCAACCAATGGTGTCCAGGCACTGCTGCGTTCCGAGTTCTGAGCAGCAGTGCTCCTCCCAAGACATCCCCACATACACGTGTGTGTGCATCTGTGTGCTTGCTGGAAGAAGCAGGAGAGGCCAGGAGAAAGTCCTCAGCTGTCGCTCACCGGCTGACTGGGTGACAGCCATCATGGGCCTAGTCCCCGCTTCCTCCTGCGGGCACACAGGGTGCCTTGGGCTGAGCTAGAGGAGACTGCATCCTATAGAGGAGCTCTTGCTCCAGGAGGCACTGATGCATACGAAGGGCCAGTCCTGAGGATGTCTATGTCCTCTTCTTTAGCAGTGTGCATGACCTGGTGTGGGGCCGCACACCTGGGATCCCAGCACTCTGCGAGCCCAGGCAGGAGGACTGCAAGTTTGAGGCTCCACTGGGCAATTCAGCAGTTCCACATGATCATCTCTAAAAAACTAAACATCCAAAATAGGGGTGTAGATGTAGCTCAGTGTGAAGGCCCTGGGATCAATCCCCAGTACCACAGAAAAGACAGAGAAAGGGACAGGGAAAGAGAATAGAAAGACAAAGAAAGAGAGAAAGAGAAAGAGAGGGTGTGTACAGGTGTGAGCACGCATGTCGCACACACGTGTCCCAGTGTGTGTGTGTGTGTGTGTGTGTGTGTGTGTGTGTGTGTGTGTGATATCTTGAGGCAGCCCGCCTCCGCATTCCTGGTCCCCAAGAACTGGGGCAGGATCCTCGTTTTCTTAGACCCCACTGCTTACTCCTCAGCTATTAAACGGGACAACAGCAATGGAGTGGGGAAGCCATATTTCACTGCCCAAATATGCTCAGTGAACCACGATGTGAAGTGAGAACAGCTAGAGCAGGGGTGAAACTGCCTGGCTGGTGGAGTCCCCAGTGCCAAGGACAGGCAGAGAGGGTCGCAGAGGGCACAGCTAGTAAGGACGTCCTGATGCTGCCTGGGTACCAGGTGCTTCTGACCCACGGTGGTCCTGCTGGGAGGCTGGGAAGCCGGAGCCAAAGCCCCATAGGGCAGGGAAGCAGCACTTTCTGTCTGTGTGACAGGGGGGCATGAGGGTGCCTGATGGTCACAGCTGTGGGACCATCAACCTGGCAATGCCTTATCTAGAAATCCAGCCCAAAGACGAACGAGCCAAACTGAAGTGATGAGGGTGCAGTGTTGTCCCGTATAGTGGAAAAGATGAGAAAGAGGCATAGTGTCTTCTCAGTACTGATACTAGGTGCTTCCAAGGACAAGTGGGGTGGGGGTGGGGGATGGGAGTGGGGGACAGGACAGGGCAGGGCAGGGCAGGAGGAAATCTCCCATGTATTACTGCAGAATAGTCTCTCCAGGATATATTTATTAAAAAAAAAAAAAAAAGAGAAGATACACACCATGTATAAACAAATACATATATATGTGTGTGTGTGTGTGTGTGTGTGTGTGTGTGTGTGTGTGTGTCCTTCTTTCCTTATTCTACTTTTTGTTTAAGGAAAGGGGTGAGACATGTAATTTCTGAAAAGAAATAAAAGATAAATTAAATAAAGTAGTTATGTTGTGGGGGATGAGGAACAGTGACGTGGGATTGGAAGCAAGAACTTGCTACACATCACGCTGGGGGCTGGGGCGCACACCTGTAATCCTAGCACTCTGGGAGGCTGAGGCAGGAGGATCGCAAGTTCTAGTCTGCTCTGGGCAACTTAGAAACTTAGCAAGATCCTGTCTCAAAACAATAACCTTAAAACAGAAAAATGGCCAGAGATGTAACTCAGTTTGAAGGTCTTGAGTTTAGCCCCTGGTACCACAGAAGAGTAAAGCAGAACAACAAAACCTCAGGGTGTTTGTTTGTTTGTCTGTTTTTTGGTTTTTTTTGAACAGGATCTTGCTTTGTAGTGCAGGCTGCCTGGTCCGATGGCAGTGGATAATCAGAGCTTGCTAAGGTTAGTGCAGGGCAGGTGGGCCTTGAGCTCACTATGTAGCCCAGGCTATCCTTGAACTTGCAGAGAGATCCTCCTGCCTCAGCCTCTGGAGACTTCACTTTTTTTTCACTTTTCAGTTTTGACCTGGATATCATTTTTTTGCTAATTAAATTGAAATACATTAAAGAAAAATGAGCAATACTGGAAAACACATAAACATGTGACCGTCCATCAAGACTTCTTGCTTAGGACCCAGAGCAGAGATATAAGAGAAATACTTGAAGAGTAGATTTCCTCCAGCCTGGAAGCAAACTTCAAAGACACCATCGGTGAAATCAGTAGGCAAGAAGAACAAACGGTGGTGGTGCCCTTCGGATCTGCTGCACCACGTGCTGGGACAGGCCCGCCCCAGGGCGCACGCCTGTAATCCCAGCACTGGGGAGGCTGGACACAGGAGGATCACAATGAGTCCAAGCTTCATAGTGAGACCCTGTAACAACTAAATACATTTTTTAAAAAAAGCCTGAACACTTTCAAAAGATTAGGAGTAGTTATAGCAAAAGAAGAGATGCTTCATGTCCCCTGCCATTGAGGAAGTGCAGATTAACAATACGGGTACCAGCTGGGAATGCTGGTGCACATCTGTAGCCCAAACACCTGGGAGTCGAGACAGGCAGAACATGAGTTCGAGCCCAACCTCTGCTAAGTAGCAAGTTGAAGGCTCACCTGGACTCCATAATGTGATCCTGTAGGGGCTGGGGAGATAGCTCAGTGGCATAAGCACATACCTGGCAAGTATAAAGTCCCAAATTCAATCCCTGGTAATGAAAAAAAAAAATCTTACTTTGGAAACCAGGTAGTTTCTTTGAAGTTAATGCGTCCGCCTGCCAGCTGGACATTCCACGCTTACGTCTTTAACCAGGAGAAACCAAACGTGGGCCAAAGTCCTGCCAGCGAGGCTTGGCAACAGCAGCCTCCAAATCGCGAGATCTTCAGGATAAACGACCCATGGAGCAGACGGGGGCGTTCCGACCTCCCAATCCTGGCCACCAGGGGGCAGCACCAGACTGCCGTGACCCGGCCTTGCTTCTTGCCCCAAGAAGGGCTGTCTTCGTGCAGCCACTCCCCCTACCAGGACACCCGAGAACACCCCCACCCCTTGAGCCCGAAGACCCGCCCGGGTCACATAGTACGCTGTGATAGCAGACAGGGACCCCAGGTCATAGGGCCCCTGCGGAGGCCAGCAAGGCCAGCTATCTTCCTTCTTGACCTCCTGCTGAGGACAAGGGGTCTCTGGGGTTCAGGGCTCCTGGAGGACTACTGTGTTCTTTAAACTGTTACATCTTTTAACCTTAAACTTCTTTAAAGCCTGCTCTGGCACAGAGAAGGGGGGAGCTGGTTAAAGTATGGCCTCCACCACTACATGCTGTTGTGTGACACCAGGCAGGTGGCTTTACTGCTCTGAGCCTCAATTTGCACCCGTGAAAGATGGGTCCCACAATACCGCTTAGTAAGGCTGTTAGGAAAATTCGGCGAGAAGTCTCACAGGCCATCCCGGGAATGGAAGGGGGATGAACTTCTAGGTCTGACAGCTGGTCCCGCTCTTGTGGCCTCTTCATGTGCTGTCATGCACGCAGTGAAAAATACTGCAGCTGGCTGTTTCAGGGGAAAAGGGGTTGGGCCAGTTGTCTTTTCTGGAGAAGGGCCAGCATGGCAGGGAGCAGCAAGACACTAAGGAAGAAGGAATCTGAAGAATGAGTTTTAACTACGACTATTGTACGGCGTGCGCGTGTGTGCGTGCGTGTGTCTCTGTTCTGCTTGCTCAGCAGTGGCTGAGGTGACTGATGGGGGCATGGTGGTGCCACAGTTGGAGAGGTGACCTGGCCCCAGCTGGAGTGGTGGAGCCCAGGTCCCCTGGCCCCAGCTCCCAGTGCAGTGCAGCCGTTGCCCCCACACCGCACTCACCAAGCACACACCAGGATGTCATGCAGCACCGGAAGAGGACCCAAGGATGAGAAATGGAAAATGCTGCAGGGATCGCCTGCCCTTAGCCCAGGGTGAGAAGCCTACAAGCCCCAAAGAGAGTCTGGTCTGAGCCTGGGGGGGGGGGCTTGGACAGCAGTGGCTCCCCTCCTGCCCTGCCTGCCCTGCATGGGACTTTCCCGCTGTTTCCGGGATCAACTCTGAGCTCTGTTCCCGTCTATCAGCCATGAGATCTGCTGTCTCTCAGAAACACCAGGCCACACACGAGCCCTGAAGCTCCTGGAATGGAGTTTATAGACTGCAGAACCTCAAAGCAGACATCTGAAAGACATTCAGGGAACAAGGCATGGTGGCACACACCTGTAATCCCACTTGGCAATTTAGCAACTTAGTGAGACACTGTCTCAAAATACAAAAGGGGGCTGGAAAGGCCTCAGATTCTGGATTTAATCACCAGTATCACTGGAGGGGGAAAAATCAATGTAATGCTGTGATTGTAACATAAAGCCGAAATAAAGGAAAGGAATAAAAGATTTAAAAAGGGGGGGGGGTGGCTGGAGAGACAGCTCAGTGGTCTAAGTGCGTGCCTGCCTGCCTGCCAAGCGCAAGGACCTGGGTTTGATTGCCAGTACCACATGCACTGCACCAGCCGTGGAACCAGGCTTGGTGGCGCACGTCTGTAATGCCAGCACTGAGACAGGAGGACCACTATGAGTCGGAGCTGCAGTGTAGCGAGACCCTGTACTAAATAAATAAACAAATAAAGTGATTTAAACAAATAACTGATTAAAAAAGTAGAGGAGGGGCAGGCAAGATAGCTCAGTGAACTAGCACTTGCTTAGGTAAGCGCAAGGGCTAGGGTTTGATCCCTGGCACTGCATGCTACACCAACCCCGCCCCCAGGCATGCTGACCCAGCAACAGAGTCCGGGCATGGTGGTGCACGCCTGTAATCCCAGCACTGGGGAGGCAAAAATCAGGAGGATCACTACGAGTCCAAGCTGCGTAGTGAGACCCTGCACACACACACACACACACACACACACACACACACAGAAAAAAAAAAACCTGAAAAAAATAAAGGAAAGGGGGCTTATGGTGAAACCTAGCCATATGACATGCAAATTCCTACTTCCTACACCTGTATGCATTCTGCTGCCTGTTGGTACTCACCAAAAGAGAATGAAAACATGTCACTCCTAAGCCACATTTATCCCAGGCCTGGACCTGGCAGCCCTTCAGGCCCTAGTGTAATTCTGGGAAAGATATTT